TTTCAAATTGGACCCTTTAAAATGGGTCATTTCTGTTATGGTCCCAAACTATATTTGCAAGAGAGCCCAATTTGTGTGTAAAAGTTAAACAGAATTTGTGACCGGCCCATTATTATAAAGATGGGCCGACGAAGGTCCACATGGGTTAGTAAACGACATGTAGTTTCAGAAAAATTACTGGTTCGGTCGGTCAACGACAAGACAACATAGGCACTAAGGTCGGAACACTAGGCTGTAACGCAAGTTTCGGCTCCATCATTGCCATTGATTTAGCAAATTACAAAGCAAGATGATTCCGTAGGATTCAAACAAATTACTTCATAATTTCGTATGAATTTAATCGAATAGGTTTTTATCAAATCAACACAACAGATGTGAGTTCGATATGCATTGCTTAAGACCTACATATGCCTCTAAATTTTTACCGGTGTCTTTGAATCTTAATGACATTGTTTAAAAGGATATTATTATTATTATTTTCTCTTTTTTTTTTTCCTAGAAATATCAAGTCTATTAATTTAAAAAGAAAATATATTATTCATGACTTGCCACGTCAGCAAGTATATCCTTCATTTTTCCATATCATATTTATTATTTTTCTCCTCAAATTCTATCATTATTAATTATTATACGTTGAGATTAGGGTAATTATCATTTCTCCCATTAATTTAATTAAAAAAGAAAATATATTATTCATGACTTGCCACGTCAGCAAGTATATCCTTCATTTTTCCATATCATATTTATTATTTTTCTCCTCAAATTCTATCATTATTAATTATTATACGTTGAGATTAGGGTAATTATCATTTCTCCCATTAATTTAATTAAAAAAGAAAATATATTATTCATGACTTGCCACGTCAGCAAGTATATCCTTCATTTTTCCATATCATATTTATTATTTTTCTCCTCAAATTCTATCATTATTAATTATTATACGTTGAGATTAGGGTAATTATCATTTCTCCCATTAATTTAATTAAAAAAGAAAATATATTATTCATGACTTGCCACGTCAGCAAGTATATCCTTCATTTTTCCATATCATATTTATTATTTTTCTCCTCAAATTCTATCATTATTAATTATTATACGTTGAGATTAGGGTAATTATCATTTCTCCCATTAATTTAATTAAAAAAGAAAATATATTATTCATGACTTGCCACGTCAGCAAGTATATCCTTCATTTTTCCATATCATATTTATTATTTTTCTCCTCAAATTCTATCATTATTAATTATTATACGTTGAGATTAGGGTAATTATCATTTCTCCCATTAATTCTCTCCACCAATTAAAGTTATTATTATTAAAGGTAATCGGAGACGATGTGACCCACTAACTCACTTATGACGTCATATAATAATAATAATTATTGTTATCCTTTTAAAAAAATGAACACGTAGATAATAATATTCACTTATATACTATTATTTTAGTCTTTTTAAATATTAGATGTTCGAATTCCAAACTTTTTTTTTATTTGGATGTAATATCCTCGTTACAAGAAATAAATGAGTAATTTATTTTATCAATTATTTTTTTTAGAAAAATGATTTTGTCGGCATTGATTTTCTTTTTTATTTTAGCTCAAATTAATTCGAGATGATGTGACCCATTAACACACGTCCAACACACCTATGACGAGGCCGACAATATTCGACTATATAATATAATTGTGGGGAAAAAAACATATTTTCCTTATTTAAATTCCTAGAGCATTGGCATAGAAAACACCACGTTGCTAAAAGAAAACAAGGAATTGGTTCCTTAACTTATAATGCATCAATCTATAAAATAAATAAATAAAATAAAAATATATCAAATTTATAGTTCAGTCCACTTTTTTAAATTAAAATTAAAATTATTATTATTATTTTTTTTTTTTATTGAAAGATAAAAAAGGTCATGAGAGTCTATCTTTATGGTGTGACAAATGGATCTATCACTGAAAATTAGGTACGAATATAAATAATGTCTTAATTGAGGGATTAAGTCTTAATTAATCATGGCTTTAAACTCGGGTTAGCTTTCTAATTAGGAAATCCTTTTAAATTATATCCATTTCTAATTTTTTTGGATCTTATATTAATTTTTAATACACCGACGGATGAAATTTTTAGAGGTATGATTTCGAGATGTCTAGAATTAAAACAATTAAATGATTTTGATTAGATTTGTCACGGATGTACCTACTACTTAGCAATGTTCTCTTTAACTTTTGAGTTAGCCAGCTCAAAGCGGAGCAAGATGTAAGATAAGCAAGTAACAAGGTGGACATGGAAAAAAAAATGGACGTTTAATGGGCCTAATTGAGGGACACCCACCTTTAAAAAGGGTACCCTTTAAATTTTATCTAACCATGTGATTTTTCTATGTTGAGCTATGTTCATATTGGTTTATAAATGTAGAGGTGAAGATTCAAAATTCTGACCTGTAAAAAAGGTTATAAAAACGTTCAAACTAGTCTTCTTTTGGTACAGTGTCAAAAATTGTGAAATCGTGTCTAGATTGTCATGCACGGTTTAGTCACGCCAGTTGAGCTATTCGACCGTTGTGGGGTCGGGGGGTTTGATAAGAACGATATAAAAGGCAAAGGCATATGGGAAGAATGTGAGGTGAGGAGAGGACAAACAAAATTATAAGGGAAAGACTGAAAGACAGGTAACCTAACACTCAAAATTATGTGTGTGTTCTTCCTACCAATTAACTTTTCTATCTTCTTTTCCCCCACAACATCTTTGTTCTTTTCTGATTTGTCATCTCCCTTTTTAATAATTTTCAATTAATTTGGAATATCTTACGATTTAGGGTTTAGGGTTTAGGGTGCAAGAATTGTACCGAAAAGCGTATGATCGAAGACAGACTAATACAGATTCTTTTAGCATATTTTATGTAGATAATCTTTACTGTTAGCAACGTGGTCGTGTCAATAGGAACTTCTGAAGTCAAATGGGGTTCATATGACTCGATACCCTGACCAATCAAGACTACTCAACCCAGACCATAAAGGTTGAGTTGGCTTAGAATTTGTTTCAGTTTGGGTTGATTCGATTTGTTGGGTTGAAATTCTTTTTGTCAGGTCAACAATGGTTTTAAAAAAATTAAGATGTTAGTAATGCATTGTGACATGAAAATATTTATCTATAAACCTTATGAGATTTAGTTATTGGATAAATAATTTTTTTTAAAAATAAATAAAAATAGAAGAACAACTGGACAAACCTGAAGGATTGGATTGTGTTGGTTGTGAACTATAGTGGGGTTGCTCACGTCACCAACCCAACTTAAATTGTATTACATGTCCACACTCGAATAAAAATGTCGCGGACATACACCGACAAAATGAGCTTCAGCACGTTTCAAATAATGTATATTAATTATTTGTTGGAATCAAATGTGACTACATAACAATCCATAACGAACGAGTCAATTTGGTAATTAAGATTCTTTTATTTGTCCTCCTTATGAACATCAATCAATCAGCTACCTCCCATAAAAAGTTTGGATTCATCTCTAATTTCGACAAAAAATAGGTTTAGATCTTATTATACTTGGTTAATGTTCATATAATTTGTTTATTAAATTATTAAGATAAAATTGCTTAAATAGGTCTAAAATGAAAATAGCCGTCACAAATCATAATTACTTTTTCTTTTATATTTATATAAATAAAATAAAAAAAGTTGACTTAAATAATGGTGGAATATTATATAAATAAACCAGGCGCAGTTGAATAAAGCAACAAAATGAATTAGAAAAATGAAAAATAAATAATAATAATAATAAAAAAAAGGAGTTAGAATTATGATTGGCCAACTTTAATTTTACTTTAATAATTAAAATAATTAAAATAATTATGCAAAACCCTAAAAATGAACTTTAGGTAGCAGCCATTATTTAATAATACACAGCTTTTGGGTAAACTTAGGATAAGATAATGATTTTATTCATAGATTTCATGCACTCTATCATATGCCTCCTAGGGCTTTGGCTTTTTATCTATAAGTATTTTAAAAAAATAATGATTATTATTATTATTATTATTATTATTATTTTGTTTTGCTTTTCGTGGAGTGTTGAGTGAGTAAAGGAGGGCTGTAGGGTTTTTGGTCGGAAATGAGCTTGCAATAGATATAAATAATAAATAATTTTATGGGTTATAATTATTATTATTTTTTTTAGTGGGGAAATTAGTGAAGAGTTTGAAAAACAGCCGACAATAAAGGGGCATTTGACTTTGACTTTGACTTAAGTTCAATGAAACCGGAAGAAGATAAGGTTCTATTGTTGAAGTCTAGAAATTGACCGATAAGGAGCTACTCATCTATTCACTTATATACAAATGAGTAAATTTCAGCTCCTTATTTGGTCAAATCTCTAAAATGATAGATAAGATGAATATATTATACAAGTCATTTCCACTCGTGCGAGCCTCTTTACATGCAAGAATTCATAATTTATTCAAGATTAAAATCGAGTCGACAGATTTATAAAAATATTAAATATTGAACCAAATAATTTTGATTTTTTTTTTTTTTTTTTTTAGATTTTAAAATTATATTTTACAAAGTAATTTGATAAAATCAAAATTGAAATATTATTTTTCGAGCATTTTTTAAAATAAAAAAAAAATTATGATTGGAAAAAATAAATTAATTATAAAATTATACATAGAGCAAAGTTTAAAGAAGTAGCCTCCAAATAGTCACTAATAGTCTTGAATGTACCACCGACAACCCTTGAAAACGGGAACGACGTGTCGGATAAAGGTTGGGGAATTTCTTGATTTTATTTTTTATTTACTTTCAAGTTAAATTTGAAAAGCGACAGAACGTTCCGAAAAGGAAAGGAAAAAAAAAGATAATTAATTTTTTGATCTGGAAGAAAGGGAGTCGTGCCACGTGGAACGGTGATATGGCCTCTCTCTGAATATTATAGACGTTAGAATTACGGCAAATTTTGTGAGTAAGAGGAACAAAACGGTGACGTGTTGTGGTGTGGGTTTAATATTTCATAAGTCGCCGCGCTCTCCTTCTCTCTCTCTCTCTGTAACTTTCTTTACAGCTTAGATTTCGTTTCCTTTGCTTAGAAACCACAGGCAGGGGGCTTCATTGGTACGTTTTTCCTTCTCTTTCTCGCATATCAGTTCTTTTCAGATCACTGGAAACAGGAAGTGTTAGTTTTCGAATCGATTACAGATGGCAGCTTTGTGTTTCAACGACTTATTCTTCTGATGATGATTATGGTGATGTTTTGTTCAGTTTGTTGATCTCTGTATTGATTGTGATTCGTTTCTTTGAGTGGTTCGTGAAATTGAATGTGGATTTAGCTGTTATTGTTCCGTTTTGATTTTTTTTTTTTTATTCTTATTGGCTGGAAAGGCGGGGGAAACGAATGTAACGGAAGGCTGGAATCTTTTGATTTTGATAATTGGATTAGAAGAAATTGTGTTGACTGATGGACAGCGTTGTGTGCTAGGATTTTTCTTTTGAAGAGCAGAGCGTTTGAATCTATTAATGGTGGAAATTTTGGGAGTCAAAACCGCGTTCTATTTGTTTGTTCTTTACAATTTCCTGAGAAATTATTAGGGCAGTGATAGATTGATTAGAATTCTGGTTTCGATTGTTTGTGAGTTGATTAAAAATGTTCTCTAGTTCGTTGTGTCAGGGTATTCAGTTGCGTCTGTAACTTGTACTCTTATCTTCTCTGATCCGTAACGCTCGCGTTATACCTCGTTGAGGCTGAAAAAGAAGAGTAACGAATCTCTGTGGTTTTTGATGCAGTGAATTCGAGGAAGCAATGTACATACGATGAGTTTTCACAAGGTTGGTGGATTCAATGTCAGAGGAAATCAACGATGAAACTGTATTCTTGAATTTTTCTTTTCGTATAGAGATTGAAAAGGATAACCGTGTACTTCTTCACAAAGATGAGGAACATAACGACCATCAATTCTCACAGATACAATGATCCTGATCTTCAATGAATCATCCAAACTCTAACTTCTAATTAGCTTGTGCCTACTTATGAATTTTCAGTGACGGATTGAAAGATTAAATCAATAGTTTATTGAAAAATGGCTATTGCTGGTCTACATAATGTCTCTGTTCATGATTCTTCATTTATTAGAGAATCTCAATCTCAAGCATCAAGGCAGTTAGGAAATGAAAGTAACATAAGCACCCGGGCATCCTCTCTTCTACGTATATGGCGAGGACTTGAGGATGAGCAAGTGGTGAGAGGCACAGAGGAGAGAGTTAGCGAAAGATCTATTGATCTCTCAAGAAATGATGCAGCTGAAAGGCAAAGTACTGTACGGGGGGATGATTCAGAGAATATGGGGATGAATATCAATGAGAATGATACTGACACATGGTCCGACATACAAACTGCTTCACAAAATGATGATGAGGATTCTGGTGAATTTGGGGTTGTTGAGAGGGAGAGGGTTAGGCAAATTTTTAGAGAATGGATGAATAGTGGCGTGGGGGAACATTCACCTAACGTTTCCCAAATGAGTAACGGCTCAAGGGCAGAGTGGCTTGGTGAAACAGAGCAGGAGAGGGTGCGAATGATAAGAGAGTGGGTGCAAAAGAATAGCCAGCAGAGAGGCACTCATGATGGAAATGGGGAAGTCCAAACTGCTGAGGTAGGTACTCAGGTTGCACAAATTTGTGATGCATTGGTTGGAAATCAGCACGAAGGCCGGATCCAGCGTGCTAGGAGGGGTATTCGCAGGTTATGTGGCAGACAAGCTCTCCTTGATATGGTCAAGAAGGCTGAGAGAGAAAGACAGACAGAAATTCAAGTATTGTCGGAGCAACAAGCTGTATCAGGCTTTGCTCATCGCAACCGCATTCAGGTTAGACAAGTCCTTTTTTCGCTGTTTTTGGACTCTTAAATTGTTATACTTTAGAACGAAGTTCCTAATTATTCATGAGCTCATCAACATGTTTATTAGAGTTGAAGCAAACTGTATGCATGCTTCCCCGTCACTTGTGAGAAATGGTTGGTTTTTTCTGTGGTTCCTTTGAGTGCACCTATAATTATCAGCGCTAAATAAACAATCATGGGATATTATTTTGCAGTCATTACTCAAAAGTAGATTCTTGCGAAACAATAGATTGACTGCAAATGCGAGATCTGTATCTGTTGCCGAATCCGAGTTGGGCCTTTTAAGGCTAAGACATACAGTGTCTGGTTTGAGGTACTTCTAACGCTTTGTTTTATTTCACTTGATTCTTTTTCTACTTTAGATTACCAACGTTATTTAGTATTATTTCTGGATGTTGTATTTGTATCCTTCTGGTGAGTTCTATTATTTAGCAACGGAGGAACAATCAAACCAGTCTGTTAGTGGTGTTCAAGTTTAGTAGATGATTGTTTTTTTTTTTCCAAATTCCCTACTGGATTGCGAATTTTTCTCATTCTAAAAGCTGGATTACAAAGAGTGATAATTGGAATTAGTACAGTCGCCAGTCTCTTTACGTTACAGCTCTACCAAGATCTTGTCCTGCTGAATCCTATTTTTCTCATTCCGTGAAAGTTTTTTTATCTGGCAACGGAGGAGCAATCAAACCACTCTGTTGATGGTGTTCAAGTTGCCTAGATTTTTTTCTTCACATTCTTGCTATTTTACGGATTTTTCTCATTTTAAAAATTTGATTTCAAAGGGTGATTATTGGAATTATACAGTCTCCACTCTCTTTCTTTTACAGCTCTACCTTAGATATTACTCTGCTGCATCCTATTTTTTCAATCCTATATTGCCTTGTAGATAAGAGAAACTTCGAGAATGGACAACTAGTGTCAAATTACTGCCATATAAATTGCCACGAGTGTCTCATCAATGCCACTCCAATCATCATTGGCATGTAAGATGAAATATCTAATGTCTAACGACATCCTTAATGCTAATTACATTATTAGGAAACTAAATTTTTCTGAATTATCGAAGTATGAAAAATAGTAATCAATTTCATATGCGATTGTACCTCCTCAATCCAAAAGTACGAGATCACTGATTATTGTGTCTTAATTTGGTTAAACTAAACCTAGAGCTTATAAACCTTCGTTCTTACTAACGTCTTTTTCTACATTAATGTTAACATTGATGGACGTTGTTAGTTTTCCTCGTTGAACTTGAATTCATTACCAATTATAGTCGAGAAAAACACAATTCTGATTACTGGGCATTGTGATTAAGGGTCGTTAACTTTAACCAAGAAGTCTTAGGTCCAAAATTTGCTACCTGCTTGGAAGACTAACATTCTTTGATTGGGAGCTTCCAAATGTTGTGAAGTTGAACAATAGAAAAGCTCCCTAATTCACTTGATTCAGATGAGAGTCGTGTATTGTTTCCTCGAGTGTTAACCTTGAATTTTTGCCAATTGTTTTTCGCCTAAGCTCACTGGCAACTTGACCTACTTGTCCATTTTGTAATGCTAGCCTATCCCTTTTGATAATAGCAATGATATTTTGACTTTCTTTGAATTAGGGAAGGATTCTTCTCCAGATTGGATAATTCTGTTCAAGATCAAGCAAGTAGCCGGCATTCTGACACCACATATAACAGTGATGATGGTGATTCTCTAACTGACCTGAATCGCACAAGGAGTTTTGAGGTCCTAGATGATCTTCTTGGACGTTCTGGGCCAAGTAACGTGGAAAGTCATAACGCAGGCTCTTATAGCATTGGTCTAACTGAAGTCAGATCTGATCTAGAAGGAAGTACTGCTGAAGGTAGAGAAGCATCTCTTGATGCGGTAGAAAGTACACAAGAACAGGTTGCAGAGAATGGTTTAGCCAGCCAAACAGCTGATATCAACTCGATGGAGATGAGAGAAGATTCAGGACAAATTGATACCCGTGAGGAAAATGACGATATTGGAGTATTATCAGATCATTCTGGAAGTTTTCAGGACAATGATCTTGAAAATGTAGATCCGCTGGAATCTACTTCTCACGAGGAACTGAATGAAGAACTAGGTATGGGAGTTGAGCCAAATGATTGGCAAGAATCTGGTTTTCAACGGGATGAATGGGAAAATAGCATTGAAGAAGATATAAACGAAACTCAGTTGGAAAGCATCACTACTAATTGGTCTGGAGAATTCTTGAGTACGACACATAGAGGAGATATTCATCTGCAAAATGCACCTGGAGCTTCACATGAAAATGTTATCTTTGTGGAGGATGTGCCTAATTGGTTAGAGGGCTCTCCTAATCGGGAGGCTACATCCAGCCGAAGGTCGGAGACCTTTTATTTTCCTGAAGAGAATAATGTGCCTAATGGGGAAATCAGAGAACTTTTAAACAGGTATAAAAAATTTTATATCACAACATGCCTCGCTGAATTCAGTCTAAATGATGAATTTACATGTGGACTGTTTTTCTTTATTATGCAGGAGAAGTGTCTCTACTCTTCTTAGTAGTGGTTTTCGAGAAAGTCTTGACCAGTTAATTCGATCTTACATAGACAGGCAAGGTCACAGTACCAGTAACGGGGATCTAGATGAGATGATATCCCCTTACACGTCTGCAGAACAAGAGCAAGAGCATGACAGGCAGACCGCAGGTCAAGCGGGTTCTGCTGAGAGCCATCCACTTGATTTGCCTCTACCACCTGCAATGCCCTCTCGGCAACTTTGGGATCATGAATTGAGTCATGATAGTTGGTCAAGGCGTGATTTCCGTCAGCAGTTTGGAGCGGTATGTCTCATCATTATTCCCTTGTTTGTTGTCTTTTTGGATGAAATCAGTAGGATCAAAGTAAATAAAAGAGATAGGAAAGCATGCCAATATCAATGATAAACGATTGATGAATAGTGATTCTGCAATGGTCTATTAGGTGTAGTCAGTGTTGGTTGTTGGATAATCTGGTTATCTTTTTTTCGTTCTTTATTTTCTTGTTATTACTATTCTTTAAATTTGATGTTGTTGCTGAATTTTACAGGACTGGGAGATCATTAACGATTTGAGGATCGACATGTCTAGGCTGCAGCAGAGGATGAGCAACCTACAAAGAATGTTGGAGACATGCATGGACATGCAACTTGAGCTGCAGCGCTCAATTAAGCAAGAAGTTTCTTCTGCACTGAATCGAACATCTGGTTCAGAAGGTTTGCCTTCATTCTCAATGCAACTGAATTCTTTAGTTTATTACATCATTTAGATTTGATCAGCTAATGGCCTATGGAACCCACCCCACCCCTAAATAAAGATAGAACATGGTACTTAGATTCTTGGTTGTGGATATTATATTTTTCCAAAATTCGACATGAACTTTTGTTTTTTTAATGTGATTCTTGCCCTGAACTATATCGTACTTTACTATATCGTACTTTACTCAAATGGTTATTTAGCATGGGTGAAGAGAGGATGTGATAGTCTTTAGTGTTCTGGTCACTTATATGATATCACTTTCACATGTCATTTGACTGACTTGACTGCATATAATGTCTTGGAACAGGGATATTTGAAGATAGTTTACCAGACGAAGAACCCAAATGGGACCGAGTAAGGAAAGGAATTTGTTGTATATGCTGTGATAACCATATTGATGCTTTGTTGTACAGGTAATTCCAGCAAATTTTTAGACCGTTTTTGTGTGACTATCTCTAGTCTTAAGTTTTATTTAACTTATATTTTCTCATTTGCAACCTGTAGATGTGGGCACATGTGCACATGTTCAAAATGTGCTAACGAGTTGGTTGAAGTAAGAGGAAAGTGTCCGATGTGTCATGCGCCTATTCTAGAAGTGATTCGTGCTTACTCCTTATGACGAATTAGATGACAATAAGGACAAAAAATGAGACTAATAGTGAGATTCGTTGATCTTCATCCTCTTGTTCCTTCCTTCCATCCCATCCATCCAGGTGTCTTACTGATTCTTCTCGTCCAAATTTCTATACATATAAAGTTTATTATACGATGATGGACGATTGAAATAATATATGTAATCTCTATTATTGATTAATCTAGCGAGAATAAATACGATGAGTGGATTTAGAAACCTTATTCGATGAATTTTGAGAATGATAAAACTAAGTCCTTTGCTCGCATTAGCAATTTAATTTATGGATGAATTATATACTTTTTTCTAATCGCAAGAGACTACATAAACGAAAACTTTTGAAGTCCAAAATAACTTGTTTCTATTATCTAATGTTCTTTTTTTTTTTTTTTTTTTTTTGAAATGAAAAGTACACAATTTTTTTTTAATTCCAAAATTCATATTAAAATTTATTCAACTCTTTTATAATATTATTAACGAAAAAAACCGACTCTTTTATAATAATTCGTGCTAAACTAGAAAATAAACAAAAATAAAGTTGAGTGGAAATTATAAATTTCAATTTGATTCTTTTTTTATAATAGAAAAATGGTTTCATCCTTCATGTGGGGGCATGGGTGTAATGAGAAAATTGAGAAAAAGACTATCCTACCCCTCTCTTAACCTTCTAATTTGTAATGATTATAGATGATTTTGCCAACTTCTTTTAGAAAGATTATTGTCTCTCTAGGGCGCTTGTCCACCGAAGTTGGAGCAATTGCTAATCACTATTCTCCACCGTCGATCCTCGTTTGAATACGCTAGCCATTCCAGCACCACCACCGTCGATGCCACAATTCTAGCACCACCACCGTCGATGCCACAAACAACCTTATTAACTAACAATAAGACACGTGCAATATAGCTTTGTTCCAACTTAGTTACACTTAAATTCTTAAGTTTTCAAATTAGAAATATTAATTCTTATTTTACTTTAAAAAATTAAATTAAATATTTTTAATAAAAAAATTCCTATCACAAAATACTTTTTTTAGTTATTAAGGAAAACAATTATATTTTTTTCAAATCTTAAAAAATAAAATACTAAAATTATCTTAAAAGAAAAAGTGTCTATATGACAGAGTTAGTATCAAGTCGTTTCAAGATATGAACTTGATGTTTTTCCAAAAGACTTTTTCAATGGCACAAACTCGGACCAATGGTCGGTTTAGTGCTGAATTTTCCATCCATTTTCCGAGCATTAGCTTCTTGATAATTAGAAAATCTGATCAATCCAACCTAATTTATACTCTTTTAAATAAATAAAATTTTATAGATTGAATTGGTTTATTAGTTCTCTTTATTATAAATTTTAAAATATACATTTTTATTTACGATCGAGTTATATATACACACACGCACACGTATATTTAGTTGTTCAGACAATCGAAATAAATGGAACTATTTTAAAATTAGGAATCTTGAATTGATTTTAGCATTAGAAAAGCAAATTTTTGGTAAGGACAACAGCTTCATGGCATATTTAGGAATGAAGCTGTTGAAGAGTGTCTTTTATTTGGAAGAAACCTCTATAACTCAACCATTCAACTGCCTTTCATTAGGCGCCTTGGCCTAGCTTACGAACTGCTGGTTCGAGACCCAAACCCGTGAACCGGGCAACTTTTTGTTATATAAAGGAGCTGTTTGTTTGTGAAGATCAAGCCAAACCAAACACTTTGTCATGATGTTTCTTCCTTGCTTACTTCTCATCCTTTCATCCTGTGTTTCTGCAACACAATACAGAATCCCAAGGCTTAGTATAATAGACAGAGATTCTGAAGCTCTGTCCTTGCCTCTTTCGGATGATTTTAAAACATTTTATTACAACCAAACGTTGGATCACTTCAATTATAGGTCTGAAAGCTACATGACGTTCGCTCATAGATATATAATCAATTTTAAGTATTGGGGCGGCGCAAATTCCAGCGCTCCCATTCTTGCCTACTTGGGAGCTGAAGGTCCACTAGATAAAGATTTGAACGTTGTAGGATTCTTGACTGATAATGCTGCTCAATTTGGGGCTCTTCTTGTTTATATTGAGGTAAGAGATTTCATGTTCTTGTGTGGTTCATATAAAATGCTTTGGAGGGTTTATGTGATTTTGTTTTGTTTTGTTTTGTTTTGTTGTTAGCATCGTTATTATGGGCAATCGATACCCTTTGGATCAAGGGAGGTAGCATTGAAGAATGCAAGTACTTTAGGCTATTTCAACTCAGCTCAAGCAATGGCAGATTATGCTGATGTTCTTAAACATGTTAAAAAGACGTTGCATGCTAAATATTCTCCTGTGATTGTTCTTGGTGGATCATATGGTGGAAGTAAGTCGGCTCTCGTTTAAAATTGTGAGATTTCACGTCAGTTAGAAATGGGAATGAAGCATTTCTTACAAGGGTGTGGAAACGAATCGCTAGTAGATTTGTTTTAAAATCGTGAGGCTGATGACGATACGTAACGGGCTAAAACGGACAATATCTACTAGCGATGACCTTGGGTTGTTACAAATGGTATCAGAGCTAGACATTGAGTAGCGTGCTAGCGAGGACACTGGGTCTCCAAGAGAGGTGGATTGTGAGATCCCACATCAATTGAAGAGGGGAACGAAATATTTCTTATAAGGGTGTGGAAACCTCTCCCTAGCAAACGCGTTTTAAAACCGTGAGGCTAACGGCGATATGTAACGGCCCAAAGCGGACAATATCTGCTAGTTATGGCCTCGAGCTGTTGCAAATGGTAACAGAGCTAGACATCGGGTAGTGTGCAAGCGAGGACGCTGAGCCTCCAAGAGAGGTGGATTGTGAGATCCCACATCGGTTGTTGAGGGGAACGAAAAATTTCTTGTAAGGGTGTGGAAGCCTCTTCCTAGCAAACGCGTTTTAAAACCGTGAGGCTGACAATACGTAATGGGCCAAAACGGACAATATCTGCCAGTGGTGGCCTTGAGCTGTTGCAAATGGTATCAGAGCCATACACTAGGCAGCGTATTAGCGAGAACACTAAGCCACCAAGAGTGGTGGATTGTGAGATCCCACATCTGTTGGAGAGGGAAACGAAACATTTCCTACAAGGGTGTGGAAACCTCTCTCTAGCAAACGCGTTTTAAAACCGTGAGGCTAACATAACATGTTTTTTTGTTTTGTTTTTGTTGGAAACAGTGTTGGCCGCATGGTTTCGTTTGAAATATCCTCATATGGCCCTTGGAGCTCTTGCTTCTTCCGCTCCAATCCTTTACTTCGACGATATCACGCCACATAATGCATACTATTCCATTGCCACTAAGGATTTCAGAGTAAGATCCTTCAACAACCATGCATCCTTTTGAACCTTTTGAACTTTTTAAACACACAAAAATGTGACTGAATTTGCAGGAAGTTAGTGAAAGTTGCTATGAAACTATTCGGGATTCCTGGTCCGAGATTGAAACAATTGCTTCCAAGCCTGATGGTCTTTCCATTCTCAGCAAAGAGTTCAACAGCTGCAGGTAATAGAATTCATGGCTTCTCATATCCAAATTTAATGAAGTTTGTGCTTCTAATCGGTTGTTCTTGTTTTAGTCCTCTGGAGAACTTCTTTCAGCTGAAAGACTACTTGTGGACTATGTATATCGCCGCAGCCCAATACAACCGCCCACCAAGATATCCGGTCACTATTATCTGTGATGCCATTGATAGAGCTTCATCTGAAAGTGGAATTGTTGGCAAAATTGCTGCAGGGGTGTTTGCTTATAAAGGAAATCTATCCTGCTACAAGATTCAGCCGGGAGATGAGACTGAGACCGATGTGGGATGGAGGTGGCAGGTAATCTTTTTATTTTACGAATACCGATGTGGGATGCATTGAACTTTAAAAAGCTTCATTTTTTAGGACGTTTTAAGAAGCTTTTGTGTTGTGTGTGTAACTCAGAGGTGCAGTGAAATGGTGATGCAATTAAGCACAGGCAATGATACTATGTTTCCGGCATACAATTTTGAGCTTGGAAGCTTCATAGATTACTGCAATAAGTTATACGGTGTGTCTCCGAGGCCACACTGGGTCACAACCTATTATGGAGGCCATGTATGCACTTCAACCACCTCTCTCTTTTTCTTTATTTTCTTTATTGAATATATTGTAACCGCCCAAATCTACCGTAGATAGTGTCTTTTTTTAATTTTCTTGCTCGGGCTTCCCCTAAAAAATTTTAAAACTACAGCTTTATAAGAAAATGTTTTGTTCTCCTCTCCAACCAAGGTGGGATCTCACAATCCACCCCCTCCCTCGGGGCCAGCGTTCTCGTTGGCACTCGTTCCCTTCTCCAATCGATGTGAGACTCCACAATCCACTCCACCCTCAAGGCCCAGCGTCCTTGCTAGCACACCGCCTCATATCCACCCCCCTTCGAGGTTCATTTGATCATTTTGTTAGTTGATTTCACAATCCACCTCCTCGGGACCCAACATCCTTACTGGCACACTGCCTTGTATCCACCCCATTTCGTGGCCCACCAGTAGCAGATATCATCCTCTTTGGGTTTCTCCTCAAGGTTTTTATACTAGAGAGGTTTCCACACTCTTATAAAGAATGTTTTTTTTTTTTTTTCCTCCTCATCAACTGATATAGGATCTAACAATCCACCCCCCTCGGGACCCAGCATCCTTGTTGGTACACCGCCTCGTGTCCACCCCCCTTCAGGGTTCAGCCTCCTCGCTGGCACATCACCTAGTGTCTAGCTCTGATACCATTTGTAACAGCCCAACCGCACCGTTAACATATATTATCCTCTTTGAGCTTTCCCTTTCAAGCTTCCCTGTAAGATTTTCAAAACGCGTCTACTAAGGAGAGGTTTCCACACCCTTATAAAGAATAGTTCGTTCTCCTCCCCAACCGACGTAGAATCTCACAATTTCTTTGTTTCCCTTCAAATTTCAGGACATAAAACTCATCCTTAAGAGATTTGGCAGCAACATCATTTTCTCCAATGGACTTAAAGACCCTTATAGCAGCGGCGGGTAATCAAAAACCAAAGCTCCAACATTTATTATACATAAAGAACAATCAACTTTACTTCAACTCTCTCTCTTTTTGTGAATGCAGAGTGTTGCATAATTTATCTGGCAGTCTCCTTGCAGTCCATACGCCTAATGGTTTGATTTAGACTCATAAATTCTAAATTCAAAGCTTTGTTCTTTTGAGCTGACATGTTTTGAAC